CAGTCACTTCCGTCATCATACAGTACAGTCACTTCCGCCATCACACAGTACAGTTATTTGCGTCATCACACAGTACAGTAATTTGTGTCATCATACAGTACAGTCACTTACGTCATCATACAGTACAGTCACTTCCGTCATCATACTGTACAGTCACTTCCGCCATCATACAGTATATTAACTTCCTCCATCATACAGTACAGTCACTTCCTCCATTACACAGTACAGTCACTTCTAGCTTTATACAGTAGTGTGCACAAGTAACTCTTAGACAATTTTAAAGATATCTGTTTTTTGTTGTTGAAATTCTTATACATTTTGTGCCGGTTAAACGTGCGACCTTTTACTGTACATTTGGTCACGCAAGTTGACTTCTGTGACTTTGGCGTTGCGAACGCGTTACATAATGCCAGGGTGTCGGTTTCAATCCAGTCTAAATGCTATTTGGCAGCAGACCACCTTGCATTGATTTTGACGGTGGTATCAAGAGCCGACTCTACAGAAAGCAATGGCAAACTGACTGTTCCTGCAAAAAGGTGTCGCCATCATAAGAAGGCGAGAGGTTCTAGTTCTGGGATGACAGTGGTAGCTTTCGACGTTTTGCTTTGTCCTGTGTATCCTTTATATCTAATTGCTTTCTAAGTTAGCTTCATCTACTGTTCACCGGCTGTAAACTCTGGCAAAACGTTTTGGTGGTTCGTCCACTTCTCTGCTTTAGTCTTGGGTCAGAAACCGAGTGCATGCACATAATTTTACAGATCTGACTTGTTTATATGCAGACTGTTGGTTCCTTGCCTCTCAGGCAGATGCACTCCGACTTCGAAGAAAACTCCCAGTTTGTCTACTCTCATAAGCCTTTTGGGTACGAAGTGGGACTATTCTTATTTTCCCCACAACGGGGCCCCGAAACCCACATGAGGATTATCTTATGGGATGGATTTATTCGGATTTGGCCATAAGTCCCCACCCCCATCCCCACGCCTTTTCCTTCAGTTATACATCGCCGTCCTGCCTCTATGCTGGTCGAGAATATCTCTCGTACGTTTGGTGTGCCAGTTTTTATTATATTTTCTCGCATTGTTAGAAGCGATATGAACCCACACCCTCCTCCCCCACCACCCCCGCCAAAATTATCAGATCGTCGATCTATCAGTCTATCAATCTATCTATCTATCTATCTATCTATCTATCTATCTATCTATCTATCTATCTATCTATCTATCTATCTATCTATCTATCTATCTATCTATCTATCTATCTATCTATCTATCTATCTATCTATCTATCTATCTATCTATCTATCTATCTATCTATCTATCTATCTATCTATCTATCTATCTATCTATCTATCTATCTATCTATCTATCTATCTATCTATCTATCTATCTATCTATCTATCTCTATCTATCTATCTATCTATCTATCTATCTATCTATCTATCTATCTATCTATCTATCTATCTATCTATCTATCTATCTATCCATCCATCCATCCATCCATCCATCCATCCATCCATCCATCCATCCATCCATCCATCCATCCATCCATCCATCCATCCATCCATCCATCCATCCATCCATCCATCTATCTATCTATCTATCTATCTATCTATCTATCTATCTATCTATCTATCTGTCTATCTGTCTATCTGTCTATCTGTCTATCGGTCTGTCGATCGGTCTGTCTGTCTGTCGATCTGTCTGTCTGTCTGTCTGTCTGTCTGTCTGTCTGTCTGTCTGTCTGTCTGTCTGTCTGTCTGTCTGTCTGTCTGTCTGTCTGTCTGTCTGTCTGTCTGTCTGTCTGTCTGTCTGTCTGTCTGTCTGTCTGTCTGTCTGTCTGTCTGTCTGTCTGTCTGTCTGTCTGTCTGTCTGTCTACCTGCCTGTCTGTCTGTCTTTGCATTTAGTGTCAGACAAGTTTGTTTATTATTGGTTTCTATTACATCAAGCGTTCTCCCGCTTTATTTTTTTGTGTGAGTCTTCTGTTTCTTTTATGTTCGTTCAGTCATTCTTTGTGCCCACTCTCTTGCCCTCAAACGAGAGTCCCACCAACTTGCTTTGGTTTAATATTTTATGCGACCAGCACAAATGTCCCGGAACCGCAACAGAGTAGTATTTATACGGTCGCTGACGGTTCGGTACCATAGATCTGGGTACGATCCGTGTCTTTTTTTTCCCCCTCTCTCTCCCTAAACTGACCTTCGCTCATAGGTCGATCCAGCCTTCAATTGATATCAGGCAATGCCATGGGAAGTAAATGCGACTGGCGTTTTGTTGACCACGTCACCCATCGAGTGTCAACTGTCTATAAAATGAGTCTATCATCATATATTCGATACACAGCTGGCGGGAAAGGAGTCCTTGGCATACTTCTACTAGCTTCCATATGCCTGATAAGCCTAAGGCGTTGAAAGAAGTTCTTGGATTTTTGAAACTGTCAGGTCTAATTACTTACTCTGCTAGACGGAGAATAGTAAATATAAACAATGATTTAAACAAGATAATGGATAATCATAATCAAATCAGGCGTTTTAATCCGCCTTAATCCTCTTTGAATTCTAAACCCCTTCGGTAGTCGTATCAATGGTAACAAAAGAAGTGGCCAGCTGTCAAATCTACTGGTCACTTACATTTTTGTTGACTCAAGTGACTATCTGAAATTAGGTCGACCCTGCTTCAGGCTGAAAGTCCGCCCGCTTATGGATTTGGTCTACGGCAAATATTACACATACTACACAATCCGCGTTAAACTGATAATGTAGAAGTCAAGTCAACGCCCCTATATACGCCCGAGGCGCATGTGGCATATGCGGCTAGTCTTATATTTTTTTTAGATCAATGTGATTTAGATAGATCGATGGGTGACGTGGTCATTGTGGCCGTCTTTACTTCCCAGGTCTTTACCTTGTACCCATTTAAGACAGGGTCGACCTGAGAGTCTAATGTTATTATGAAAAAATCCGTCTGCATGCGGATTTGAACCCACGAAATTCGGACCAACAGACAAGCATCTAGTCATTACACCACGGTGGCTCCCACATGATGATTCAAGGGTAACGACTAGGATGTTTGCGTTCCAAGCAACATCTATGTTAACCTTTTCTAATTCAGCCATTTGTATTAATTACTCCTGTTTCTACATTCTTCCTTAGAAGGTACGGTATTTTGTGGTTCACAGCTAGGCTGTGACATCTGCGCCTTTGGACTCAACACATCCGATTTCAGCAAAATCCTAATCAGTCGTCTTTTATGACATGCTTATTATTGAGCATTGGATCTATTACAGTGAAGTCGAATAGTCGCCGTGCTTTGTGAAGAAGACAGAGTAACACACACACACAGAATATATATATATATATATATATATATATATATACACACATACATATAATTTAATTGATATTATTATTAGGAATGCGTAAAGTTTTGAAAAAAGGCATGCCAGTTAATATATATTTACATACACACACATACACGCACATACATACACACACATACATTAAAAAAAAATTGTAAGCACTCCTTGAGATAACAACATTGAAACAACGACCCACATATACAGACAGGAAGAAACAAAATATGATGTATATGTTTTATTATAGACGAAGACGGGCTCAAAAGTAGAGAAAAAAATGACAAAGAAAGAAGTGGAATAAACGAAGGTGATGACAAACAAGAAAAAGAAAAAGCACGCACCTGCAGAAGCATGAGTAGAACAAGACGTGATTCATATAGAAGCAGATTTCTAGGAAAAATCAGCACTCGTACAAAACCAGAAAAGCCATCAAAGAAAACAATGAAAAAGTTTGCTTGTATGGCCACTTCCACGGTGTGCTAAATACCAGATGCTTGACACATGTATAACGTTTGCATTGCTTGCAGGTTTGAACCAACTACGCTTTCACTTCGTGTTGTTTAGTAAATTAGGCCACTCCTCTGAGAGGGTTTGCCTCGTCTGAATTCAACTTTCATACAAACAACAAGGTCCCTAGCCAGATATCAACATAAAACAAATACCACACATTTTTTGGATACACATTTCCGGTGACTTCCATTAGATAAGTGACCTCATTGATGAAGAACAAATAATGATTCACTTTTCAAGACCATCGACCCTTTCTGGCACATGAGCAGGCTGCTTGCTAATGTAAGCTAATGAGAAAGTTGCCATAACTCTTATGTTTTCCCACTAATACAACACCTTCCATTTTGGCCGGTGCATGCATGATTAAAAAAAAAAAAAAAACGCTTCATCCAAGTTAACAAAAGGTTTCATTTTTATAACTGGTATCGGATACCTGTAAATCATTTGTTTTTGTTCTATTAATTCTGGAAAATCGTTTGTTTTGTCATGTACATTTTAACTTGTTTGTTATGTGTTCCGGCGCAGCTGTCTAATCTTGTCTGGATTCCATTCCATACACCCATCACGATCACCTGGCAGAGAACATCGACAGAGCTCCACCCACACTGATAACCGGCCACTGATACGCCCACCTAACAGATAACTGCTAAACGTCGACCAATCTGAACGATATCAGATGAAAGCGACCAATAAAGACAAACCCGATAATGTGGTTGACAACTCAGGACGTCAAATCTGTTTGATAACTTGTTCCAGTAGATTGTTGAGGTTCTGCAGATTCTCGTTCTGTGTAACAGGCAATTCTTCTGTTTAAGCTTGTTGCTCATAGGTTTGCCTGCAGTTCGAGCCTGCTATATATGAGTTTATAATTCCATTCAGGACTTACGTCACACATGAAACCTGGACGCAGTTAAAAATTGTGTTTTCGTCGTTGCTGTCTCTACACTTGAAACAGTTGTGGTAAACTGGTTGACAACTCTTTTGTTATTGAGCTTTCTGTTTTTTTTTATTTGGCTTCTTTTAATAGGCGCAATGTTTTTCTTAACATTTCATCTTGTGAACGACGATATCTGAGAAGAACTTGAATAAACAGATGAAGTAGATTCCAGTGTAACATTTTTAAAAATAGATACGAATTATGCAGTCGCCGCACTTCGACGTCAGTTCTTATCATGGCGCGGTGTATGGTTCTGCTCCAGTGTATGAAACCAGCGGATTTAGACTTCATCATTCAAGTTATACGGCAGATTCAGACTCTACCTGTTACGCCGGTTATACATCTCCAGGTGTTCATGCGGTACAGAACTATGGCTGCCGAGATCCAGGCGCTTACACCGAAGCGGCGTCATTTTACTACGCATCTGGCGGGGCTGCCAGTTTTGACAATTCCAACTCTTACAAAATCCAAAATGGCCAGATGGGTGTATCGGAGTGCGAGAATGTTGCAGCCACAAACGTGCAAGAAGATAACTTTCTTTTGAAGCCACACGAATCACTTGCGTTGAATCATCTTCAAAGTGCATACAGCAATAACAGTATCCACAACAGCAATAATAACAACAACTGCATCAATATCCACGAAGCTCAAATTCACCAGGCTCATAATTATCAGCTGTCTACAAATCATCATCATAAACAGCACAGATCATATGACATCCCCGACAATATTGTAGTCAGTAGACTCACCCCGAATGTTTCTGATATTTTTGGACAAAGAACATTGAAACTGGAATCTTTAAAGAGAGAACATTCCCCATTAGACGAACAACAGAATACCCCACCTGCTTCTACATCAACCGCCATTTCAATAAACATTGAACAAGGAAATAAACAATACGCCACAAGCGACAAAATGAATTCCACAAGATCGGACATTTCAGAAGTTACATTATCTAAATGCTCATCCGAAACATTTCTAGGTAAAGACACTATCAGTGAGAAAAAGGAAGAAGAATCCGGAGACAACAAACCGACAATGTCTTACATTGCTCTTATAGCAAAGGCTATTCTAGAGTCCGAACATAAACGATTGAACCTAGGGTCAATTTATAACTGGATAGAAACTCATTATCCTTTTTACAAGAATAAAGGACAGGGTTGGAGAAACAGTGTGCGGCATAATCTGAGTCTCAATGATTGTTTCATCAAGGTAAGTTGTACTCACATTACAATTTGCTTGTGTTATTAAACTACCATTCTTCGTACAAATTGTTTAACATCAAGATAACATTCTGTCGCCTTATGCACAGTTTGACATTAAAAAAAAAAATACATGATATATATATATATATATATATATATATATATATATATATATATATATATATATATATATATATATATATATATATGTGTGTGTGTGTGTGTGTGTGTAAACAAGGCACTGATTATTGTTATTATTATTATTATTATTATTCTTTTGGCAAACCAGAGGCACCAATTCGCCTACTCCTGTACAGTTTAATTATTGTTCCACCGAGGCAGGGTTTTGTAACGTTCCTACATAGTTTAGTAATTTGTATCACTTTGGCAACATTCTTGTATGTTCCTTTTACAGTTTACGACTGAGGCAACGTTTTGCATGATCCGGTATATCTTACTGCACTACGGAAACATTTTGTACGATTTAGTCAATCTTGCTGTACCTCTAAGACAGAATTTTTGCGTGCTTCCATAAAGTTTTGTTAGTGATACTGAAACAATTTTTTGAAAACTTGCATATAAGTAGCTGTGTACTACAGAGGCTACAGTGTTGCTGCTTCCATAGATTTTAACTGCTATACCCCTACGGCAACTTTTGATGTGCTCCCATATAACTTACCTGTAGTTGTTGTACCATTAAGGCAACGTTTGGCGTGCTCCCATATAACTTACCTGTAGTTGTTGTACCACTGAGGCAACGTTTGGCGTGCTCCCATATAACTTACCTGTAGTTGTTGTACCACTGAGGCAACGTTTGGCGTGCTCCCATATAACTTACCTGTAGTTGTTGTACCACCGAGGCAACGTTTGGCGTGCTCCTACACAATTTAGTTGTAACACTGAGGCAAATGTTTGCTTGCTTCTGTAGACTTTTACTGTTGTACCACTAAGACGACTGTTTGCTTGTTCCCGTACCGTTTAGCTGTTTGTACCACAGATGCAATATTTCTCTGTAGTTATTGTATTGCTAATACAGCATTTCTTCTTTGTGATGGAGTACTCACAGTTCTTAAGTCAACCTTTTTCTAATTCAGATTTACGCCCTATTAAGTATTTCAACAGGAAAGACAGAAATCCAAATATCAAAACTGTTATCGTGTTTCCCCGGAAAAAAAAATTAAAAATTATCCGGAAAACACACACACACACACACACACACGCTAACAAAATTTTTCAGAATGTCTGTATTATAAACCCTATTCCAAAGTTAGGCCACGCCTAACATCGCCAGCCAGACAGACAGGATTCGTTCGTCCAGTGAAACACACGACAGTTAATCAACTTACAAAAAAAACGTATTATTGACATTAGTACTTTAAATAAGGGCTGTACCGAATAGTGTATAGGAACTACACGAAAGAAATCAGAAGAGCTATCAGAGGAGACAAAAAACAGTTTATTATAAATACCTGTAATAGAATTGAACAACTAACTCCAGATGCAAGGAAGAGACAGAGACATGTTTAAAGAAATTAAAACATTTAAATGCGAATTCAGGCCTTCTTTACATGTAATAAGTGATAAAAACGGTAACACATTAACGGAAACCAAAGACATATTAGAAAGATGGAAAGAATACTGTAGAGAAATGTATGAGGATGTGACAGGTAATTCAAAAACGACTTGTGAAAGTTTAATCAAATGAACCAGAGCCTTTACTGGATGAGGTACGATCAGCAATACACAGCCTGAAGAAAGGAAAGTCACCAGGTTGCGACGAAATACCAGCAGAACTAATTCAAGCAGGAGGAGAGGCCAGCGTCCGAATCTACCATGCACTGTGCTCGAAGATCTGGAACTTTGGTATTTGGCCTAAAGCGTGGAAAATAACAGTCTATATCCCTCTCCCAAAGAAAGGAAATCCAAAACTATGCTCCAACTACCTTACCATCGCATTAATAAGTCATGCTAGCAAAATCCTCTTACGAATTATCATGAAAAGGATTGAAAGGAAATTACAATATAAACTAGATGAAGCACAAGCGGGTTTCAGACGGGGTAGAGGAACTAGGGATCACACATTTAATATAAGAATAATTTTTGAAAAATGCAGAGAATACAATGTAGATCTTCATGCTTGTTTTATTGATTATAGCAAGGCATTTGATTGTGTCCAGCACCACCAACTGTGGACTATTATGAAAAGTATGGGGTTTCCAGCGCATTTAGTGCATTTAATTGAAAATCTCTATCATGAACAACAAGCAGCCATCAGAGCAGCTGGTGAAACATCTGATTGGTTCGAGGTGCAAAAGGGGGTGAAGCAGGGGTGCATTCTCTCACCATACCTATTCAATATATACTCAGAAAATATAATGAAAAATGTCAAAAATGACCAGACTTGTGACAGTTATGATCCGCTCAAAATTGGTGGCAACCCTATTCCGGAACTCCGCTACGCAGATGACACAGTCCTCCTTTCAAACAGCGTAAAGGGAATAGAAAATTTAATATTGTCCGCCCAAAAGCATAGTGAAGATCAAAATCTGTTCTTGAATTTGAAGAAAACGAAAATAATGTCCACAGATAAAATTGGCTGTCCACCAGAAATAACAATAAATGATGAAGAAATTGAAAATGTCACAAACTTTGAATATCTAGGCTCTATAATAAACAACAATGGAGTCTGTTCGACAGAAATTAAAAGGAGGATGGCCATAGCAATGCAAAGATTGAACAGCCTCAAAAGTCTATGGTTAAGCACCAGCAAGGAGATAAAAATTTGAATTTTTAGAGCATGCATCTTCCCTGTGGCCATATACGGATGTGAGTCGCGGACAATCTCTCAATCCTTAAGAAAGAGAATAGGGGCCTTTGAGCTGAAATGCTATAGAAAGATTCTCAGAATATCTTGGACAAAGAAGATGAGAAATATTGACATCTTAAAAGATCTGAACATCAAGGAAGATTGGCTAATAAACAGCATCCTTTCTCGAAAGCTGAAATATATTGGTCTTATCAAGCGCCACGACGGATTTGAAAAAAAATATAGCAGAAGGCATGGTACTAGGAAGGAGGGGTAGGGGCCGACCGACGCGAAGATGGGCACTGAATATAAGTGACTCCTTGAGTGTGAAAGTTCATGAGGTGGGAGAACTGGCAAGAGACCTAGTTTCTTACAGGCAGACTGTGATGAGAGCGACGTTCTGCAAAGGACCTGCTACATGATGATGACCGAATAGTGATTGTCACTATTCGGCCGAATACAAATAGCAAGACCAACTATTCCGCCGAATACGAATAGAATACGAAAAGTGCATTATCATCAACAGGTGCCTTGCCGACTAGCATGGGCGATTATGCCTCGCCCCAATCTACGATCTCATGCAGTATGTATTAGTTCGTGTGCTGACAAACCTCCATGCCATGCAACAAAACTATCAAGAATCTTCTCTCGCTGTCTTTCTCTATTCCTCCTTTCACAGATCTTTCCAGTGGTCACCACATGTTCCATTTTCCCTCTTCTCATAACATGGCAAAAAATGATGACTGTCTCCTGCTGATGTCAGTGATTAGTTGTCTTCGGGTCCGCCACTTTCAAAGCCTCTTGGTTGCTTTTTTTTTTTTTTTTTTAGCAAACTAATGTATTTTAAGCATTGTTCTGTAAAACCACATCTCTGAGGCCTCAAGAAATTGTTTTGCCTGCCTTACGATTGTCCAGGACTCACAGCGATTTGTTTAAACTGGATGTATGTAGCGAGCAAGAAATTCTGTTTTAACCTTCAATGACAAAGATATATTGCATAAGATGTTCTTCATTTTATAAAATGCAGTTTTTGCTTGTCCTATTTTGTTTCTTATTTCAGTAATGCATCTTCCATCTGATGTTATCCATGATACTTAAATTTCTGTACTTGTCCCAAAATAACGCCCTTGACTTTTATTACACATTTAGGAATAATTCTTTTCTTTGATACCACCATTACTTCTGTCTTCCCACTATTCATTCTTCCACTTTCGTATAGTGTATAGTGTATAAAATAAATATATAAAAAAAAAAAAAAAAACATTTATGATGTCAAACGTACGCTAAAATTTTACATCACAAAATGTAGTACAGAATTGTGATCATTTGAAAACATTTTATGTTTTGCATACTTCAGTCAGTCAGTCTGTGGTAACTAATACCTAGGAATGAAAGTATTCTTAGTTTTATAACAAGTAACTAAACTTATAAATTGTCACTGACAGCTTTGTTAATGCATGAAAGCGACTTAGGCAACAGCAACTATCGCAGTGTCTGCAGAAACGGGGTTGAGGTAGCCGCTATTCGTATTCGGCCCGACCGCAAGTATTCGGCCGAATACCAAATAGTTATTAGGTCTACTATTCGGCTCCGAAGCGAATAAGAAAGCGAATATTCGGTACAGCCCTACTTTAAATAATTGAAAATACTCGTATAAATTATAATGGGGTATTTGTAAATGCTCAAGCGAGTTCCTTCCTGTGCATCAAAAAATGATCTCCAGACAATGCCGGTATGGTGGGTAATGAATAGACGGATAGATTGGCTGAATCTGCACCAGTGGGTGGAGAATTGATACAAAACAAGGCAGATGTGGTAGAGGCCCTTTGGGAACAAGCAACGGAATGAGTGTAGAAATAAGATTATTATGGCCTGAAGAGAATGGGGCACCTGGGTGTAACCAGAGGGTTAAGGCCGACTGACTACACTCAGAGGAATTGCAAGACGGACATATAAACAGCTTGTGACCGGTACCATGAGTATTGGAACTCTGCGCTGGCTGCTGAAAAAGAGGACGGAGAATGCATGGGAATACCCCGAGTGCTGTGGGATTGAAGTTTGCGTATACATCCGTTTTACTGGCTTATTTGTATGTAGTAAGCTGTTCCTTTATTCTGGGAGCAGATGCACTCCGACTTCGAAGGGAGCTTCCATTTAGTCGACTCCTACGACATACTTGTTGGGAAGGCAGTATGTCAATT